ATCACACCTGCCACTCTAAGGAACTTGGACTTGAAAGAAGTTGATAAGAAAAGGCACATAGGAAACTTTGCAGGGTGGTGGGTTTTGTAGTAAGGTGGGTGCATCAAGGAAGTGGATTAGAGAGATTTTAAGGGCAGTCACTTCATTTGGCTTCCCAATGTGTGTGCATGGTCATCTTGGATATGTGGGGCAGGTGAGTGGATGGAGTGTTGAGTGAGGAATCAGGAGACAGAATTTTCTCGGTCTTTTATTCTTGGACTAAAAGAAGTAGTTTCAGTAAAGGAAAGGGGTTTTACTTCAGAAATGATCAGTTTGCTTGTAAAAGTCATGTATCAAGATCTTCTGGTGGGAAACCAAAGCTTCACAGTCTTCTGCAATGTCCAGTGAGGAGGGGCCTCAGCACGTGGCTTTGGCAGCACCAATGGTCACAGGTCTTGAGCAGCTACCAGATGCTTTACAGGTTGGCCCATCGAAATCACTCCCGTGATGACCTTCTTATACAAAGAACTACCTTTATAAGGTTTTTTTTTTTTTTTTTTTGTTTGTTTGTTTGTTTGTTTTAACATGAAGAAACAGAAGCAAAAATCTGGGAGATGATATTCCCCGTGTCTCCCAGGCAGAATCTGAACCAGGTTTAAGTGCCTACAAAGCATGTTTTTGAATCCTGTTTAATCAACTCACCAATATGAGACACAATCTGTTCCTTGAAAAAAAATGTGGACTAATAAATATTGCATTTCCTTGTTGCACATCCTAGCCCTCTCCATAGCCAAAAGGTTTTGTTTTTGTTCTTATCAAGAGGTAGAATCTGCCAACTTCATTTGTGATTCTAATTGTGTCCTGTTAGAAACTCTGAAGTACTCCATTGTGATAAAACTGAGGAGATTGCTGAGTCTGTAAGCTGGATAGAATACTTTGGGATGATTCAGTAAAGACTAGTAGTTCAAAAGATGCGTGGCCAATCCTAAATATCTAGAGAAACTGTACCTATATTTCCTCGGGATGATCTTTTCCAGACATTTTAAAGGCTTTATAACCAGTTTATAAATTGTTTGCCATAGCTGTAGTTTTTCTAATGAGAATTCTCAAGCATCAGTCAGCAGATCAGAAATTGAGGGAAAGACTTGACTTTGCAATTAAAAGACAGGAAAAACCATGAACTGTGACTTAAGGGAACATGAAGCGGCAATTGCACACATTTGTTTGTTCTCCAATGATTCCTGTCTTCATGTTGCATTCCTCCAGGAACTGTTTGTTCCCCCATCCTTTCCAGGGGGATTTCTGTGTCCTTGTCTAGGAAGGGTGTTAGGAGAGCACAGGAACTTTACATCCCTCTAAACACAGGTGCAAGTAAATGCAATGATGTGGAATGTCCCAGAGGGGGGATCCCAACACAGCAGGATTATGTAGCAAGGTTTTGGAAGAGGAAAACAGGAAAGAACATACTCTCAAATCCCCTTCTCCCCAAGGTGCTTTAGATCCTGTGGACCAGAAATATGGCCTGGAGTACACTGCAGGCTCTTGGGGTGGATCAAATGTAGTAGCTTCACAAGCTTACCTAGTGGTCTCCCCCAGAGTAACCTCTCCGAGGCTCAGCTGAGCCCAGATGAGATGGCACAGTAACATAGCATGTCAGCACTGAGGAATGCACAGTGCTGGACACACCGTCACTGGCAAACTGGTTATTGTTCGAATCCTCCCTTTTATGGGGTTATTAAAAATGTCTTAGGAGGATAGATAAGAACATGAAATGGAACATTTACAATCTATCAGTTTTTACTCTAAGAACTATTCTCAACACAGTAGAGGTGAATTTGGAGGTTGAGAAAGAAAAGAATGTCAAGAGACTGCTTGAAAGAGGTTTAATCTGGCCAGAAGCAGGGTGGGTGTCGGCCAACAGTGGAAAAACTTTGCTGGAGCGATTTTGTCTTGTGACAGCATCTGTCCATCTTCCTGTATAATTTTCAGATTAGATCCGATCTAATTTTGGGATTTACAACATTATGCTAACAAATAATTCTGTGTCACTTATTTTACTTACAGAGTAACCACAAAAAGCAATTTTTATTAACAAAGAAAAAAAAATCAGAAGTGTCTAAAATTCTCAGTCCACTAAGTGTAACTATTTTTTTTTTTCATTTTCAGATGTCTATGAGGTCCTGTGATAAATGCACCTGTTATTCTAAAGCCTATTCAGGGTGGGAATGGCACATGTTCAGCCACAGAAAATGAGTGCACCATCCATGGCTTACAATAAATAGTATATTCAAGACAGTAAAAGATGCAGTTTATCCTCATAATGGTTACAGAACTAATCAGAATGAGAAAAAAATTGTAAAGTGAAATCTGAAAGCACTGATAAGTATTTTAGCAGGAGTGTAAATAATGGGGATTGGGAAAGGGAAAATTTACAGAAGAATCAAGAAGGATTCTTTATAATTTTAATAACATTTGTGAAGGTAGTTTCAAAACAGCACACATGAATGACAAACCTAGACCTGTGCTCAGTAGAATTTGGCTATGCTGTACTTACCCTAATGCTGTGACTTTATCGAAACCCCCACAGGAGCATCTAAAGAGTACTAAGTAAATACAATTGTCATTCTTAAATTTATTTTTTAGAGAATACATGCTTAGATCCTGTTCCATCTCCGTCCCTTCCTAGGCATGTGTTTATGTTAATTCTCCCACACAGAGTACTGACATATTTGCTTTCAGCCTGGCCAAAGGGAAATCAAATTGTTCATTTTAACTCATGCTTAAAATGTGTCATATTATTGCTGCATCAGGCTTTGCTTCTCCAGCAAAAACATCATTGGAAACATGAAGACAACAGGTCGTGCTAAAGCAGGAAGGAATTGGCTTGAGCATGGCCAAACCAGGAGCAAAAAAAAGTCTCATGTGACTAAAATGCTGACTCTATGAGTGAAGTTCAGTGTTGTGCTGAATTCTCTTTTAGGAGAGTCCTATACGTTTGTGACATCGTGGCAAAAGCTTCAGAAAGGGTTATAGCTACTTCGAAGTGGGTGGCGTGCGTCCTCATGTATGTCATGGGCACGTGTTCCATGTCCTTTTGTGGTCGGAGAATTAGCAGCTCACTGCTGAGGGTTTGGATTGCTGGGTCAGAAAGGTGAGGAGCCCACTGCCAGTGTACACACACGGGCTTCTCACAAACCACCCTGGCTGCGTGGGTTCTGGCACACAGCTTCCGGATAAGAGGGGTCAACCGTTGAACTGTGTCTGTCCAGTCGGCTACACCCGATTCCCTCCCCACTCAGGTTCACTCAAGGTTCAGGATTTTTGGTTTTTGTTTGTTTTTGAGAGAGTGGTGATATTAAAAGCATTTCTGATTTTGTTTGAGGAAGAACACCAATAACAACCAAAATAAAATTAAATTAAAAATCCTGTTAACTGATGTGTAATCAGGAAAACAATTTGCTGTTCGATATAAATACACTAAGCCATACAGACACCCCCAGCTCCAGGTGCCCTGTGGGTGCAGTGGGGTCTAAAGGGTGCTGAGGCCATGTTCCCCCCATAGCTCTCACTTCCTCAGTAAGAACGGTGGAATCTCCAGGCTCCACAACTTAGAGAAACATGGAGACACGTGGGGCAAAGTCGTAGCACAGTGCTGTAAAAGAAGCTGGAATTGTTTTGTTTGAACAGGAGACGTCTAAAAGGCGATTAAGGCAATGGTGTGGTCTTCCAGGCACTTAGGAATCCATATGTTTGAGGGTCATGTTCAAACTCCCTTCATGCATGAACATAACTCTAAAAAGAAAGTGTTTCAGCTTCAGCAGGAAGACCGCGGTGCAGAACCCGCGGGAGGAACAGCAGTCAGATGCGGAGCCTATAGAAGGCACACATGGTTCACGAAGGCTCTTCTAAAAGGCACTCGGAATTCCTGTCTGCATTTTACTACTTGAAGGATGGTCTGAATTAAGTGAACTTTGGTCTTTGGAGTGTCATGAATCTGTGATTTATCTTTTTGAATTCTATCTGAAGGTAAAGATTTCAAACAATTGCTTTGAATTACTGTCCCACAGCCCAGCGGCTGGCAGAAGAGCTACTTTGTAATGATGTTCTGGAAGTTAGTGGTGTAGAGTGATGTTTCCTGCAGGGGTCGTGAACTCAGACACCTGCAGGGTCTGGGCTGCTGGAAGCAGCTTTAGGCTCACAGCACAGGGCAGCGTGGGCTGGGGAAAGTTGAGGCATGTCCCAAAGGACGCAAGCCACTCAAGGAATAGCCACCAGGGATTCAGATCAATCCTTATAACATCAAAACAGGCTAACATGCACAGATCTTTGGCTTTCTCAACAAAAGCTGCAAGTGTACTGTTTTATGTGAAATTAACCACCCCCAACACATACACACACACACACATCTATTTTACACACAAAATAAATATGTAAAAGTTCTGTTCTGGCAGAACAGTCCTAGCCTGTTAGAAACCTTCAGTTTATCTTTCAGGTCACAGTTAGCCACTACAGTAATTTAAAAAGGAAAGAAAAGAAACAGAACTGAGTGAGCTCTCCAGCTTGGGAGAACTAACATGCTAAACCTTTGCAAGGGTTCATTGCAGTCCCTTCCGACTCAAAGATTTGATCTCTGCATCCTTGTTCCTTGCTCCCTGGGTCAATGGCTTACTCAAGGAGGAGACAGGAATTTAAAGAAACTGCCCATGTCCCTACGGCACCATACTTTGATTTAGTAAAACTATCCAGTACTCAGATTGAAAGACCCCAACTCTTGCTGCTATACTAAAGGTGCTACTGATAGCATTTGATTTTCAGATGTTCACGTACATATGGCATAGATTTGTCACTTTGGACCTTGGAACTAACATTTGTTTATAACATCGGCTGCATGAAGCATGCTTGGCTTAATACTTTTACTGTTGGGTGACATGTTTCATTTCTCCTTCATAAAAATGTTTTCATGTAACCCATGTCCACTTGGGGTGCGGACAGCTGGAGTTCTGAAATCCCCTCCCTTTCAGACAGGGGAATACGCAACAGATGAAGAGGAAGACGAGGCAGGGCCTGCTGTTCCTGGCGGGGACATGGCCATTGAGGTCTTTGAACTGCCTGAGAACGAAGACATGTTTTCTCCATCAGACCTCGATACAAGCAAGCTGAGCCACAAGTTCAAAGAGGTAAGCCACACATCTGCCAAGCACCTCGCTGCTCCTGCACGTTGCATCTCTAAGCACATGTTGTTTTTATTTGAGTAGTACATGGAGAATAATCAGATGAAAACTTTTAATAACCCCATGTCCTGAGCCTCGAACTCGAAGCTAGAATTTAAGTCAATCTCATTCTAAAACCACTAGTAGAAATGCTTATTGTTTGACATAGTTGTAGCTTTGCCGCATATCTAACTCATGGCTTCAAGCTGTAGCCCAATATGCCATTTGATGATGACGTCTACTAGTATTTTCTCAGTTTGGTAGGTTTTGGTACCTGGGTATGAGCTTTCCTCTGAAAGTTATGATTTTTCTTTTAAAAAAAAAGCCTTTTTTATTTGTTTTCCTAAAGTGGACAGTATCGTGGTAAGATTCAGATGGTGTACTCAAGGAGTTTAATTGGAAAGAATTTAATGAAGAGGCACTGAACAGAATTAATACAGCTCAGAAGGGAAGATGAAGCAGATTGGGGTTGACAACAGCAGGAAGCTGTCACCTTCTGTTGGGCTAATCAGGCAGGAGAAAGTGTCTGTTTTGGAGGGGCACTTGATAAAACCTGCAGCCACCTCTAGAATCCATGTCCTGGAGGCAAGGCTGGAAGCCATCCCAGAGCCTGAGGCAGCAGCTCTTCTCTTACTGGGGGGTGCTCCTAATAACTGCATAACCCCTCCTTCCCTGTTAACTGCTCAGGTGGGCAAAGCACTTTATCTATCCTGGGCAAATGTCTGTCTGCCCTCACTGAAGACAAATACCCGAAGTCATTCCTGGCAACCTCTCCATTTTAAGGAAAGACTGACTGATTTATTTGAACATTAGAGTTATAGGGGCCGGCACGATGGCTGAATTAGCTAATCTTCCTTCTCTAAGCTCTGGCATCCTGTATTGGTACCAATTCATGTCCCAGCTGCTCCACTTCCTTTCCAGCTCTGTGCTTGTGGCCTGGGAAAGCAGCAGAGGATGGCTCAGATCCTGGGGACCTGCGCCCGTGTGGGAGACCCAGAGGAGGCTCCTGGCTCCTGGATTCATATCAGTTCAGTTTGGCCATTGCAGCCATTTGGGGAGTGAACCAGTCCATGGAAGAAAGTTCTCCAAAAAGTAGCTGAACAGGAAGGAGGGATGTCCTTTTTGTATCAGTTTCACTGTAGCCCTGATTTGGTCTAAACATGTAGATACCCAAAAGAGTAAATAATTGACCTGCACTTTAAGATATTTCCCTTGAATGTTGTGGCTCTCAGTCCAACTTTGATCAGTAACGGAAACCAAAAGGTCGGAATTGAAGTCTTTGGGGTTGTCAGGTGCTACCGCCTGTTGTCTTGACTAGACGATTGAGCTAGACAATGTCTTAAATTGGCACCATTTTGCAAGCTACTGCAGCCTACTGCACTTTTTTCTCTTTATTATGCTTTTTGATACTCTTTTACTTGAGCACAACTGTGTCCCTTTGTTTGTTGTTTTGACTGATTCCATAATGCATCAACAAGTTGTAGGAGATTCTGTAGCTTGGACCTCCTCAATGATTTGCTGTCTGACCCTTTACGGTAAACTTCTGCTAGAGCTGGTACAGAGAGCTGCACCATCTGGACCCCTTCCCCGTTACATGGTGGATTTATTTTTGGTCAGAGTAACAAAAACTGTAGTTTCATGTTAACTTTAGTTTTTAACAATTGGAGGATTGTCTCCAGCTTAAAAAAAAAGCAAGTATCAGTATTCCACTGGTAATTCTTTTCTTCTATTTTATTAATATTAAATGCATCCATAGACTTATTTCAAGAGACTGATACAGACTTAACTGTGTTGCGGTCTTTTTTGGTATCATAGCTTGACCACTGCTACTGATGCAGTCTTACATGGGGTTGCTGGAATTTGCGTGGTATAAGACCAGTGCCTATCTTAATGTCTCTCGAAAACCTACAGGTTGGCCGTTCTTTCATTAAATAGTCTTTGGTCCAGTTCCCTTTTATTGGAGAGCCACCCTGCTGGGTACAGAATCTGTACCTGTGCACTCTGCAAGCTTTTGTCTTTCATGTCCTTTCCCAACTCCTTACTTTTACTTCAGGGTAATACCATTAAAATATACATCAACATTGACAGACTCAGAGCCATCTAACTGTTCTCTTCGAATACTCCTTTACTTTTCACTGTATTCAAGACAACATTTGAATCATGTTGTTAATTCCCTTGGAAAATTAACTTACATTCTTATTGTAGTTACATTGTCCTCTAATTCAGTTGGCAGAGGACTGACATTTATATTATACCAACTTTTTAAATTCAAATTTATGGAATGCACATTTAAGGCAAGTGTGTCTGCACAATCCCACTGTCAGTTAAATCAAGGTCCACCTATAAGTAACAGAAAATATAATTATAGTGAGTCTAGATTATCAAAATAGATTATCAAAATCTGTCTAAAGGAATGTACTGCTGTCAATGTAAGTTAAATTATTTCCTATTTTCAAAAATGGCTTGTATTAAAAACAGAGAGACTTACACATAAGGTAGAAATTCCTGTTCTCAAAAGTTTGTTGCTACTTAGCAATATACTGTGCATTTGTGGAAGAAGATTTTTAAATACCTTTATAACAATGATTACTTAATACAAATTCTCAACCTGGAGAGGCCAACACTGTAATTTTACGTTTTTAAAGAAAATGTGAATATTTCTTCTAGGATTTTTGTATCAATTACCATATTTTTATGAGATAACTTTTTAGGTAGTTGATTATTTTATGCAATTAGGCCCTTTGTCTCTTTACTTGAATGTTTTCACTTTTTCTTGCCTTCAGAGAGGTTATTATGCCATATTCCTAATGAGTTGTTTTTTAAGTTAAAATATCATTTTATTGTTTCCTGTCAATATCTTTCTTCTTTTCCCTTTTTGTTTTATTATTGATCAATTGCACTTACTCATTTATTCTTAATTATCCTTGTATTGTTCAAAGTTAATGCAGCAATTCTTTTCTGATTATCGCTTCAGCCACCTGAGTTTTTACGAGTAGATTATCATGAATATGTAATTTCCTTTGTGTTTTCCTCTTTAACACAAGAATTATTTAGTAGTTTCTTCTTTTACTTTTCAGGCATGTCAGCATTTATTTTGCTAGATTTTGTTGGACTCTAGATTTATTGTATGCTAATCAGAAAGCATTTTCCATGTAATTATGACTGTTTAAAATCTTTGAGGTTTTTTTTTTTTTAGAACTTAGTTCAGCAACAGTTTTGCTTCAGTATTTGCCAAGCATATACTAGGTTTGAGTCTGCTATGTGTAAATATAAAAATATATCAGCAATACATATTTAATAGTTTAGCATGGTCTTAGTATGCATTTCATATACAGCTGAACGTATACGAGTAATCATTCAAGTGCACACATGCATTTCTCCTGAAGCACGGCTTACATTTTTGCCTTCCTGATCTGCTGATTCTGCAAATCATGCGTTCGAACCACAAGCTTTGATTGTCCGTCTCGTAGTTCTGGCAGTTGTTGTTTGATACACCTTAAATCTTTGATGCCAGCGCCAGGTATGCTCATGACTTTTACACCTTTTTGATCTTCTGTAACTTATCTCTTACCCCTGATCATCTATGTTTTTCTTATGGTAGAATGTCAGCGCTGGCCTCTTTTTATTTGCCTCCCAACATCTGTTTTTGCTTCCATACCGTGAATTTCAGCCAGTCCTGCCTTTTGTTCCAGTGTGTTCTCTTTAAGCAACCTATTCTAAATTTTAGTCTTGTATAACCAGGGAGTTTCTGCCAGTTCATTGACAAGTTCAGTCAATTTACACTTAACTTTAGTCGCTTTAGTGTTAGAACATGTCTGGCCACCTTTGTTCAGTTTACTTTTTCGTTCTTGTTTCTTTTCTTTTTTTTTTTTTTAAATTTTCGGCCTGGTTGTCAGTAGATATGTCATATTTTCATCTGGTTCTTCAAAGTTACTACATTTTGATTTTATTACCCTTCAAGTTTACAAAGTCCTAGGTTATTTTTGCCTAGCAATATATAGAGCATGTTGGTATCTATCTTAACCAGTTAACCCATTGATAACCTTTTACACCGTCTTGTACCTCCCCCTCATTGGGTTGTGTTTGTTTTGTATTTCAGAAGTTTCAGTTAAGTGTATTGATACATACACCTTTCCTGATGGAATTAGTTGCAGCTCCCCCGACTCTAAGGGCGTCCAGGGCTGCCCTGACACTGACTAGCCGGCTGCTCTGTTGCTGCTGTTTTCCTGCTGTGATCTGGGGATGCACAGGAGAGCACAATTCCGGGGCACAACACAGGCTGCCCTGGTCTGTTTGCCTTCAGATCCAGGCATACCCAGGCTACGTCCTGCAGCTGGCAGATAAATTGCCATCCCCGACTCCTAGCTGCCAAACCCCCCTTGCCTCAGATCTTCAGTTTTCCAAAGACACCTGGAAACACCAGTGTTCTGCATTTTAAGCGTTCCCTGCACGCTTTTATGTTCGTTGATGAATGAGACCCTGAGGCCTTGGTGTGTTGCTTTTACTCTTCAGCCTCTACATAGATGAATTCAAGAGAGGAAGGAAATAGCATTTGTTAGTTTGATGTATTGCATTAAATTGGAAACTTTCCCCTATGTAATTCAGTCATTCCGCCCTTTTTGTTGCTGTTATTAATCTCATCATTCCTATGTTTCTTCAGAATGCTTGACTTCTCATATTCTAACTTCTTGGAAATCAATGTGTAATTTATTGTTATATTTTATTGTTTCTATGTGAAAGCCATTAGAACTATAAATCTGTCTCTTGTTATTATGCTTTTGGCAGCATCTTTTGGTTGCATGATGCATTCTTGCCTTCACTGTTTAGACTGTGTATGGGTTGGACTCTTGCTGTTTATTTTCTCTTTGACTTGAAAATGTGAGGGAATAGTTTCTAATTTGTAACTCTTTAATGTTTCTTCTATTATGACTGGGTAATATTCTCTTTATATTTGATTTTTTTTTTGA